CTTTCTCTCTTTTTTGTGAACCATTTTTTCTTTTTTCTTGTGTGTGCGCCGTTTCCTTGACATCAGTTTCTCTCTTTACAGATCTATCTCTAAATATATCACTAGTTTTGCCGCTCTGGAGAGCCCAGCCTGACACACTAAGACACCACACTTTGCCTACCCATTCAACTCTTTGACCTTTTGTAATGGGAATTCTGTACACACCACCCTCTTCTCATACTAAAACTGATCTCCAAATAGTTACTAGCCTCTTAGTGGCCAATCTTCCATTAACCTGGCTCACTTCTTCCCACTCAAAGTACTCTCTGATCACCACTACACTTGACCATATCCTAGCCCTAGAGATTCTCATCTTCCCAGTGGAGTCATCCCTAGCCTCTCTTATCAGTTCTGTCCACTATCTCTAAATCAGATCCTAATGTCTGATTATGTGGACTATTAGTAATGATCTGCTAATGAACCTCTTTTCTCCCTCCGGCCTCTTTCCCAGTCTGCTCACAAACAGCATTCCAAACTCTTATTTCCAAGCCATTTAAAGCAATAACTCCTCAATCTGCTATTCGATCCTTTCCACAGTGCTTATTCAATTCCACATGTATTGATACTAGTCAGTGTTCCCTACTCCACAGTCCCGTGCTCCAACCAAATCGGCCTACTTGTCACTAAACATGTGACATCCAGGCTATAGTTCTTCCATTCACTATGGTTGTGTGTGTGTGTGTGTGTGTTAATCCAGGTCGACTAGAGAAACAAATCCAGGGAGACTCATGTGTGTATAAGAAAGAGCTTTATATACAAGAGCAGATGAATATTGAGAAAGCATCCCAGCCCAGTCCAGATCAAGTCCATAAATCCAATATTAGCCCATATGTCTGTTACCAATCTATAAAGTCCTCTTCAGACTCACAAAATACATGCAATGACACCAAAGGCAGGAAGATCACAGGTCAGTGTGTGGGAATCCAGTGGATTTGTGGATCCAGTGGCATTGTAAGCATCTCAGCCCTGGCAGGGGTCTCCACGTGGCTTCTCTAGCTCCAGAGGTCTGACTCCATCAGCCTCTCTCCATGTGTCTTCTCCTCAGGATGTCTCTCAGGGAGTGAGCATGTGTCCCACCTCCAATGAGCTATTTATTTCCTTAGCGCCTCCAAATGAGGTCATCAAGCTACTACCTGATTGACAGGCTAGACTCCACCCCTTCACTCTGAAACCCCAAATTGACACCAGATTATGTAACTACCAGAGAGAGAGAGAGAGTGTTCTTCCTGGAATACATTTCCTTCCTCTTCATTGCTGCTATTCTAAATCTCACCTCCCCCAGTTTTACTTGCCATAAAATCTTCTCACTAATTCTCCACCCAACTTATTATAGTTATCTGTGCAGCAGGATTCTAAGATCTGTTACTGTACTCTCTAAGCCCTTATGTGTCATCCCTGTGTTAAGTATTCTACATGAGTTATCTCATTAGTTCCTCACAACAATACTGGAGGGCCAGGACCCCACCCTGTTGGACATTAAAGAATCTAAGGCTTGGGGAGATAAGTAGTCAGCCAAGGTAGTATAGCTGAGGATGGTGGGATCAGCTTCTTGCTGATACTCATATTTATTCATCAGCAATATCCACTACGGCCCCTTCAACTTTTGTTGATTGAGTCAGCATGTTACCAATGGTGTTTTGTACAGAGCAAGACTCTAAAGAAAAGAGCTTTGGAATAGTAATGGGTGTTGCTATTGTTGTTAGGGGCTGCTGAGCCGCATCTGATTCATAAAGACCCCACGTATCACAGAATAAAGCACTAACCGCTCCTGCTCCATCTTCACTGTGTTTAGCATAATTGTGATCCCTCCAAAGATCCACTATGAGTCTCTGGAAAACCTCTTGCCGTCAAGTCAATTCTGACTCATAGCCACGCTCTGGGACACAGTGGAACAGCTCCCTGGGTCTCTAAGGACATTCGAGGGGGGGGCGACAGAAGCAGAGTGCCACATCTTTCCGTGGTTGGTGGGTGTGAACCACTGCATTTTTGTTAGCAGTCTCGAGCACTTAACCAGTACACCACCACGGCTTCTTTACTGGGCTACAGAACTTTTGAAATAACATTTAAAACTTTTTTTAAAAAAGTCCTCAACATGAGGATCGTGCAATATTCCAACAGCCATTGCAGGGCGATTTTTTCCCCTACATTTTTTTAGGTGGTTGTTTTTGAGACTATTCCTAGCAATGCAGAGACCAGTCCATGGTTTCGAGACGGACGGCTCAGAGTCGAGGAGGACGACCTCCTGTTCCTGGTGCATCCATTCTCCCCCGCACTTTTTGAGCTGTTCCTCCCTCTCTCGCCTAGACCCACTGCTCCCTCAGGTTCCTATCTAACCTTTCAAGATGCTGCTGTCAGTGTGATCCCATAGAGGTGATTCTTTCAAAAGCATAATGCCCAAAGCAGACCTTGGGACTCCTAAATACTCGTGGCAGTGAGTTGAGAGTTTCTATTGTTTGGTTTTAAGAAGCCTTTAGGGATGGTTTGTTTTTGTTCTGTTTTTCTGTTTTAGTGGGACCTCTACAGATATAATAACAATCCATAGTTCAATTAGATCAAGCATGATTGGACAATTGTTGCCACCATCATTTTCAAAACATTCTTTCTTCTTGCAATCTTTGGTATCAGCTCATCTTCATCCCTGCCCTCCCCTAGGGCTGTTTTTAGGGAATAATTTTGGTCTAAGGTATAAAGACAATCTCAGGGCGACATTCTCAAAGGTTCCTCCAGCTCTGGAAAGACGGTACTGTGAGAATTTGATTCTGTCCTGCGTTTACTCTTTCCATCAGGATTCTTCTCTGGAGTCTTTGCTCAAGCAGGTTCAGTAATGGTAGCCAGACACAACCCAGTTCTGGTCTCATTGCAAAGGAGGCAGGTGTTCTGCAATAAGATGTTCCACTTCCTCTTTCCATTCCAGAGCTGCCTCTCTCCTCTGTTGCTGCAGGTGAATAGAGACCAGTTGTGCTTTGGATGACCGCTTGCAAGCATCTAAGGCCCCAGGCACTAAAGCACTGAACACCTCGTTAGGCTAGTTCAGTGGGTTATCCCACAAACCACGACCTACTCTTCCAAACCGAGAAACCCAATCCCATGCGGTGTTCATTGTACATAAGCCGCCTTAGCAGCCACTCTTTTGTTGTTGTTGTAAATATATTATTCCTTTCTTGCCCATTCAACTGTGCACAGGTGTACAACTTATTGACAATGACTACGTTAATTGACTGTGCAAACCTATCTTTAATCAATACAAAGTTTCCATCACTGTTAACCCCCCATTTCTCCCTCCCGCCCGCCTCTGGCTGGTACCACTAATGAACTCTGGTTTCTATACATTTGCCCTTATGAAAGTGAGGTAATTCAATATTTGTCCTTTTGCAACTTCATGCACCATACCGTCGTCAAGCCCTATTCATTCGGTAGCATGTATCCACAGTTCATTCTCCTACTGGCTGTGCGGTATTCCCCGTATGGCCACACCATTTTGTGTGTGTCCTTCATCCACAGATGGGCATTTCGGTTGTCTGTCTTTGGCTACTGTGCATAGTGCTTCCGTGCACACAGGTGGACCAGTTTCTTTTCCAGTCTGCTTTCAAGTCTTCTGGTTATGCACTGACAAGAGGAATGGCTGAGTCATGTGCAGGTGTGTTTGTTTTTAGAAACTGTCCCAATATTTTCCTCAAAGGAGTGCCATTTTGCGTTTCCACCAGCAGTGGACAAGGGTTCCAATTTCCCCACGTCCTGGCCAATGTGCGTTCAAACTCCTCTTTCTTCTTGTTTTCAGCGATGCGGAAGGGTGGCGGTATCTCATTGCGGTCATGATTTGCAGCTCTGACGGCTAAAGGCCCTGAGCAGCTTGTGCGTTTGACGGCCAGCTGAACTTCGTCTTTGGAGAAAGGCCCACTGAAGTCCTTTGAAAAAGGACTTTGAAAAGACAAGAGCCTTTGATGTCTTATCGTTGATATTTTGCATATTGACGATACGTATTTGGTTTTTATTAGACCTATAGTCCCCAGGAAGGAAAAAAAAAAACAAAAAAAAAAACAAACTCGCGGCCATCAAGAAGACCCTGACTCACAGCGATCCTATATAGGTTCCCCAGGCTTTGTACGTCTTCACAGCAGCAGGCAGCCTAATTTTTTTTTCTGGCACAGAGGGGCTGGTGGGTTTGAACCACCGATCTTGTAACCAGCAAGCAGTCCAACGCTCACTACTAACAAGGATTGCATGGTGTTAGTAGTTTTTCTCTTAACTGTTAAATCGATGCTAGTTTTCCGTCTCTAGGAATTTCTTGTCACACCTCCGGGATTATCTCCAATCTCCCGCATTCCCACGGTTTCCGGCGCATTGCTGCACACAGTGTGCGTACTTGTTGATTGGAATGCATGTATGTTTGCATATGTGTCCAGCAACTGGACAGAGGCCGTGGGCGTGGGATGCAGGCCCTCTTCGTCCCTCGCTTGCCCCGAGCAGCTGCTTTCCTGGGAGAGGGGGACGCCAACCCGCTGACCCTTGAACAAGTTATCCCTCTCAGAACAGGTGTCTCGCCTGCCTCTCGGAGCCGAGGGATCGCTGGGCGCGGAGTGACACCAGCGGGCGACCAATGAGAAGTCAGGTTTTGGCAGGCGCACCAATGAGTGGCGGGGGCGGGCCCGTTTCCTGGGCGCCG